TTCAGGGTGAGCTTGCCAGTTGGATACATGATTGGCTTAATGGCAGGAGACAGAGATTAATAGTGGAGGATTGCTTTTTGGACTGGAGGCCTGTGACCAGTGGTGTTCCACAGGGATCGGTTCTGGGTCCTCTCTTGTTTGTCATTTATATAAAATGATTTGGTTGAGAGTGTAGAAGGCGTGGTTAGTAAGTTTGCGGACAACACCGAAATTGGTGGCATAATAGACAGTGAAGAAGGTTTTCTAAGATTACAAAGAGATCTTGATGAAATGGGTCAATGGGCTGTAAAATGGCAGATGAAGTTCAAACTGGATAAATGTGAGGTATTGCATTTTGGCACAACAGACAAGGGTAGGGCTTATACAATTAGTGGTAGGGCCTCGGGTAATTTTGTAGAACAGAGGGACCAAGGGGTGCAGGTACATAGTTCTTTGAAGTTTGCATCATGTATTGACAGGTTGGTTAAAAAGGCATTTGTCACGCTTGCCTTCATTGCTCAGTCCTTTGAATATAGAATTCATAGAATCCCTACAGTGTAGAAACAGGCCCTTTGGCCCAACAAATCCACAGAGCATCCCACCCAGACCCATTCCCCTATAATCCACCTAATATGCACACCCCTGAACACTATGGGTAATTTAGCATGGCCAATCCACCTAACCTGCACATTTTTTGACTGTGGGAGGAAACCCATGTAGACACGGGGAGAATGTGCAAACTTTACTCGGACAGTTGCCCAAAGGTAGAATCGAACCCAGGCCCCTGGCGCCGTGAGGCAGCAGTGCTAACTACTGAGTCACCATGTTGCCCCTAATGGGAGTTGGGAAGTCATGTTGAGGTTGTACAGAACATTGCTGAGTCTTTTCTGGAATACTGTGACCAGTTCTGGTCGCCCACTTATAGGAAGGATATTATCAAGCTGGAGAGGGTTCTTAAGAGATCTACCTGAGTGTTGCCGGGTATGGAAGTTATGAGTTCTAAAGAAAGGCTGGATAGGCTGGGACTTTTTTCATTGGAGTGTAGAAGGTTGGGAGGCAACCTGAAAGAAGTTTATAAAATAATGCGAGGTCTAGAGTTAATGGTAGTTGTTTTTCCATAGGATGGGGGATTTCAAGGCCCAGGGGGCACATTTTTAAGGTGAGAGGAGAGAGATTTAAAAAATACATGAGAGGCAAATATTTTACACAGGGTGGTTTGCGTGTGGAATGAACTTCCTGAGGAAGTGGTGGATCCTGATCCAATTACAACATTTAGAAGACATTTGGATAAGTACATGAATAGGAAAGGTTTGGAGGGATAAGGGCCAGGAGCAGGCAGGTGAGACTAGTTTAGTTTGGGATTATGTTTGGCATGGACTGGTTGGACCGAAGAGCCTGTTTCTGTGTTGTATGACTGTAGGAGGTCTGGCAGCATCTGTGGAGAGAAAGCAGAGTTAATGTTCAGGGTCCAGTGACTCTTCTTCAGAACTGATGGTAGCTAAGAAAAAGTTGGTTTTTAAACGTTAGTTGATATAAAAAAATTTTTTTTTCCTAGCTACCATCAGTTCTGAAGAAGGGTCACTGCATCGAAAACATTAACTCTGATTTTTGTGGACAGATACTGCTAGATTTGTGGAATTTTTCCAGCAATGTTTTGTTTATTTTGATTCTGATTTCCAGCATCCGCAGTTCTTTCGGATTTTTTTCCCCTCGATAACCAAGTCTGGCCCTACACAGCTGTTGGTGAGGCACACTTTGGCAGGGCCCCAAACATTAAAGAATCATTGCCATGGGCATCTCAGAATTTCAAAGCAGGAGAACAAGCAGCCTTTGTTAAATCCACAGGCATAGTGCCATGTAAAACCAAAAAGAAAAGTAAAAGAAAGGCATTTTAGTTTCAGAAGGGTGTGATGAAAATTCCACCTGTCTTAATGTAAATGAATCATGTCCTTTATTCCAAGTTCCATGTCCAGTTGTCTCCATTATTGCCTCCTGCCTTCCAAATGGACATTGACTTTGATGGGAATGGTATGACCAGTGTGGAAGAGGAGCAAAAGGTGTTACTTAGATGGTTCAGCATTGGTACGACATAAGGTTTCAGTCACTGTCAGTCAAGAGCTTGTCTGGAAGCCAGCTGAGGAACCTGTCTCCTTCTCATCCTGTTGCAACCTCCTTTGAGGAAGCAGACAGTCATTGCTTTCCCTTCCTGCAAGTCCCAACGCCATTACCATTACCATTAGAGTCATAGAGATATACAGCAGTGAAACAGATCCTTTGGTCCAACTCTTCCATGCCGACCAGATACTCTGTATAAACCTAGTCCCATTTGTCAGCATTTGGCCCATATCTCTCTAAACTCTTCCTATTCATATACCCATTCAGGTGCCTTTTCAATGTTGGAATTGTACAGGCCTCCACCACTTCCTCTGGTAGCTCATTCCATACATACACCACCATTTGCTTGAAAACGTTGCCCCTTAGGTACCTTTTAATATCTTTCCCTCTCACCTTAAACCCATGCACTCTAGTTTTAGACTGCCCTACCCCAGGGAGAAGACCTTCCCCATTTGAGGTTACAGACTTGCTAGCTGAGCCGGTATGTTTCTTTGCAGAAATTCCATCACCCTTCTCAGTAACATCTTCAGTGTGCCTCCGGTGAAGTGTTGGTGTTCTGTCCCACTTGTTATTTAGAACATAAGAACTAGGGGCAGGAGTAGGCCATCCGACCCTTCGAGCCTGCTCCACCATTCAATAAGATCATGGCTGATCTTTTCGTGGACTCCGATCCACTTACCCGCATTCTGACCGTATCCCTTAATTCCTTTATCGTTCAAAAAAAATCTACCTTATCTTTAAAAACGTTCACTGAAGTAGCGTCAACTACTTCACTGGGCAAGGAATTCCACAGATTAACAACCCTCTGGGTGAAGAAGTTCCTTCTCAATTCAGTCCTAAATCTGCTCCCTCTAATCTTGAGGCTATGCCCTCTTGTCCTCGCTTCACCTGCCAATGGAAACATCCTCTCTACTTCTATCTTATCTATTCCCTTCATAATTTTATATGTTTCTATAAGATCCCCCCTCAATCTTCTGAATTCCAATGAATATAATCCCAATCTACTCAGTTTATTTATATGCCTTGGTTTGCTGGGGTGGTTGGCATTACTTCCAGTTTTGTTTTTCAGTGGTTTATATATTGGGTCCAGTTCAGTGTGTTTGTTGATGGGGTTTTGGTTGGAATGCCGGGCCTCCAGGAATTCCCTGGCATGTCTCTGTTTGGCTTGTGCTATTATGGATGTGTTGTCCCAGTCGAATTAGTGTCCTTCTTTGTCTGTGTGTATTGAGACCAGTGAGAATTGGTCGTGTCTCTTAGCGGCTAGTGGGCGTTTGTGTATCCTTATCGTCAGTTTTCTTCCAACTTGGCTTATGTAATGTTTGTCACAGTCCTTGCATGGTATTTTGTATATGACATTTGTTTTATTGGTTGTGGGTATGGGGAACCTTTAATTTCGTCCGTAGCTGTCGCAGGGTGGTGATTGGTTTGTAGACTACCCTGATACCTAGGGGCTGAGCCGTCGTCTTGTGGTCATATCTGATATGTCTCTGATGTACGGTCTGGCCATGTTGTGTCTTCTTGTTGTGGTCTGTCGCAGAGGTAACCATAGACCCTTTTGATTGACAAAGATTTCTGGTTGATATGAGAGTCATATGTTTGCAATCTATGATTTGCAGATATCTGGGAATTCAGCCACTCTGGCAAATATGAGAACACTTTTTTGTTCACACTGACTTCATCAATATCAAAGTGAATGCAGATTGAGCTCTGGAAAACCTGGCGTCAATCACATAGGAGATATATTTGGGGCAGCGGATTGGGTCGTCCTGCAGACATCACCAGCTGATCACTGGAAAGAACCAGCAGTGAAGAGGATCTTGTTCCAGGAGGCTGTGGATGCCAGTAATGAGCAGCAAGAATGAGTCTGTTGAGGCTCAGTCATAAGACTAGAGGACATAGGAGCAGAAGTAGGCCATTTGACCCATTCAGTCTGCTCTGCCATTCAGTATGATTATGGCTGATCATCCATCTCAGTACCCTGTTCCCTCTTTCTCCCATACCATTTGTTCCATATCTAAATTCCTTGTAAACATTCAATGTTTTGCCCTCAACCACATTGTGTGGCAAAGATTTCCACAATCTCCTCCTTTAATTCCATAAAAACTTTGTAAATAAACAAACCTTTTCACTAGTTCTAAGATGTGACTCGTCAAATATTAAAAGCATGACATAATTGCAAGTTATTATTCTGGTGATGATCAAATGGGCTTTGCACATTGTTAAATGTTGTAATCAAGAAAAACAAGGGCCCTCATTCTTTCAAAAACAATTCCAACCTACTACCACTATTGCTAGGATTATGCATACAATTTTCTTTTGCTGTAAAGATTGAAGGTGGAGGAGTTTTTGAGCTATGATGCCACTTGTACCTCTTAATCTTTCACACGTTGGGGTACAATTTTTGCCAACTGACACCACCTTCCATATTCATGAAATGTGAGCAGTTGTCTTTATTTTTACAATGTTGCCCTGTATTTGCTTTTGAAAGATTATTGTACCATTTGCTATATTCCTATATTAATAGTTGTGTAAAACTTTGTGAGATTTAAGCAAAGGTTAGGAATATCCACTTTATCTCAATTTGCACAGTTGTCCTGAGTAGATTCCACTGGATATTTTCTCTAACACCACTCTGACACAATTTGTACAGTTAGGTTTTGACATTGTTGTCAGTACTGTGTTCTACAATTTGCAACTGGATGAAAAACAGCTTTTGGTTATCAATAGCAATAGGAGATCCCAGCAGTAATTTGTCGCATTATTTTAAAATGGTCCATTTTTAACGCAGCTCAGTTTTTGAAAAATGTATTCAGTTATATGTAGTTTCCTACTTTTGTGATCGTGTTCAGTTCATAAATGATGTTGTATGACGTATGGTTTTTCTCAAGGAGTTATTTCTCTTTCAGCTGAGAATCCTAACAGTGTCGGAGATAATACTCCAAGTGGAAGCATGGAATCCATTTCCTCCCATTCCTCGATAACTACAACATCCTCCAACTCCAACAGCCCCCCAGAACAGGCGAGGAATCGTGTCCTTCCTGGGAATATAGAGACCACTGATTGTACATCTTCTCCGTAAGTTTGATTTTCGATTCAACAAATAAGAAATTTGTGAAATTCTTTATTTTTCGTTTTGGTGCTTTTTGTACCCTTCTCCAATCCTAACCAGTTCTGACTGCTGGTTTCTTGTGTGCCAAATCTAAACTATTGGGCTGATCTTAAAGCTGGGAACTTAATGTTACTCCGCACATAAGTTTCTTTCATTCTCAACATTACGGTATACTCTGGAGAAATGAGTAATGCTGAAACATATACCATCAGTAGAATATGTAAATGTTATTCACAGCATAACATGTTACACTCACGTAAAGTCTGACCAGTTTAATAGCACACAGAAGTGAACATTTGTTATGATGCAGCATTCTAGGTGGTTGCCATGTAGTTTATCCTACTTTGACAACAGGAAAATACTGACTCACTGTCTCCATTCCTATTACATGGACTGCCAATAAACAGAATTCATCTGCAGTGGAGTGCACCATTTTTGGACATACTCGCTCGTAGCAATAATTGTTAGTCTACTGTATAGGTTAGCAAAGTACTTGCAACATTTAAACTTTGTGAATTGGCCACCAACACAACTGTTGAACCACGTTTAGCAGAAGTAATAAATTTGATTTTAAGCTACGTTGAAGACCACAGGATTGCTGCAACATTGGTAGCTTTGGTATCAAACTAAACAGGAGACAGAAAGAGTGCAATTGATTTTCAGACTTGGTGGAGGTATGCAGCTGTGGCCTCCATGTTAGGGCCACTGCTATTTTTACACATTAATGATGTGCTCTTGGGTATCAAAGACATAATTTCAAAGTTTGTAGATGACACAAAGCTCAGAAATAAAACGAGATATAGACCAGAGAAATGGGTCGACACGTAGCAGATGAAAGTTAATGCAAAGATGTTTGAAATGATTTATCTTGATAAGATTGAGGAGAGGCGATATAAATTAAATGGTGGAATTTTAAAGGGCATTCAGGAGCAGTGATGCAGGATGCCTGGACAATGTTCCCTCTAAGTTGTGCGGCTGTGCAGCTGCTGGCATGGCCTGCACTTGCTGATCAACTTCAGAGTTTCGTGAAGCCAGGAACAAAATTATGGGGGCTATTGCAATTACGGATATATACACAAAAAGCTTTGAAGAAGGTAGGACAAATTGAGAAGGATTTTTAAAAATGAGTATGAAATCTTTAACTTTATGAACAGGGGTGTAAGAGTTTGAAAGTAAGAGAGCTATCCTAACCCTTTATAAATCATTGGGTAGACTCCTGCTGCAAGATTATGGCCAGTTCTGGACACTGCACTTTTGGAAGGGTAACAAAGAATGTTTTAGGGATGATACAAAAGAGGTGCACTAAAATTGTACCAGGTAGGTAGGACATGCAGGATTAGAGAAACTGAGGTCATTCTTCTTAAAGTAGAGAATGTTTAGAGGAGACATTTCAGAAGTAGTCAAAAACATCTCCAGGTTTGACAGATTGCAGAAAGAAGGAGCTGCTAAAGAGGCACTCACTAGAGGATGTAGATATAAGGTGATTGGCAATAGAACCTAGGGTGACATAAGGAGAAGCTTTTTTTTAAGCTCACTAAGTCTTTATGACCTGAAATACACTGCTTGAACTCATCATAGAAGTCAATTCAATAATAACTTTCCAAAGGGATTTGAAAAATACTTGAAGGAGAGAAAAGGAATTACAGGGCTGTGAAGAAAGAACTTTGCCAGCAATACTCTCCTCCCACGATCAAATAAATTAAAAACAGCAGGGAAATGAGGCTAAGTGGATAGCTCTTTCACAGGCATTTAAAGTCAAGTGGCTGCCTTCTGTCTTTATATTTTAGGTGGAAATCCTTTATGTTAAAATGAAAACAAAGTCCTGGAGAAACTCAGTAGGTCTGGCAGCATCTGCAGAGATAGAAAAACGAGCATTAGTGGGCTGGTTTTCTGAGGTGTGGTGATCGCACACAAGGTGGCTCAGTGGTTAGCACTGCTGCCTCACAGGACCAGGGACCCGGGTTCGATTCCATCCTTAGATGACTATCTGTGTGGAGTTTGCACATTCTCTCCGTTTCTGCATGGGTTTCCACCGGGTGCTCTGTTTTCCAGCCACAGTCCAAAGGTGTGCAGGTTAGTTGGGTTAGCCATGGTAAATACAGGGTTACAGGTAGAAGGTGGGTGACTGGGTCTGGGTGGGATCCCCTTCTAACAGTCAGTGCAGACTCAATAGGCTGAATGGCCTTTTCCACACTGTAGGGACTCTGCGATTGCCACTCCCCTCTGCTTTTTAAACCGGACTCTTTCAGAAATGCAGGGTTGTAATTCCATTCTGACAGGTTCCTCATAGCATAGAACAGCTGGGGGAAGGTAAACCACACCCCCGTTTCACAGTAGTCAGTTAGTGTATACTGCAATCTAAAGGTCCAATGTCATAGATGGTTTGAAAGCTTCTGTGAAACCTGTGATAAGTGTGAGCTTATGGGTGTGGCAGGTCAGTGAAGTGCTAGGGTAGAGGTAGGGTGCCAGGTGGATAGGGTACTAGTAAAGCTGGGTCCTCCTTATGGAACACTCCTCTACACTTCAGAAACTGTTGTCTGGCAATGTTTTGAATTAATATGACTCTTCCTCAGAGTGAAGATCAGACCCTCTGTGCTAGTTCTTGGTGACAGAAGAGAATGGTTCTCAATCTACAAGCTCTTGAGCAGTGGGGATGCAGGGACGTTTGGTTTAGAGGGGCTGTTGTATCAGCAGACACCTTACACTGTTGGCATCTTTCTTCAGCAGCCTCACGTCTATTTGGTTCAAACTTGTAGTTTGCTTTCCTCGTAACTGTGTGCCAGCCGCCTCTGTCATCAGCCTTGCACTCTCCCACCATTGGTCAGTGTCAGCAGGAGACAGCTGTCTTTTCAGCTGGCCTTTAAATCTTGGTCAGTGTACCTTCATCTCACTCACCAGTGCACAAGCAAGAAAAATAAGTCGCCCAGATCCTTTCATACAAGATGTAAAAATAGATTTTCAGAGCGAATTTGAAGGCAGCCTTGGCAGTGATCCAACTCTGGGATATTAAACCAGCAGAGCAGTGAACAGCCACCCTACATGAAGAACTGCAGAAATGATTGGCTTGTCAATGAAAACAAACCAAGATTGATTTAATGAAAATTTCTATGCAAGTCCAAGAGCTTCATCAAAGTAAATACTCCTGCCATAATTGATTACTTGCTGTGGTAAACACAAGCCTCAGTCTGCCCGCGTAGGACAGTCCTGTCATCTCCAGTATCCCGCAAAAGCCGCAGATAGGGAAACCTGCAGCATTCTGCAAAATAATCAATTCATCCAAAGCACCTAGTGGACAACGCACACTGGGAGAATACACAAATGTAGACAGATATGGGAGTGAGTGAGATCCTTTACGAAGCCTTGAGATCTGTATATGGACTTGCATGTTGGCACAGGTACGGACACCCAGTAAAATCTTGCAATCACATTTCCCCGCTCATAGGATAAGAATCCAGACTGATTGTTGGGCAGAACGCTGGGGGAGTCTATTTGGTGACCAGCAGATGGTGCAGAAAGTGAGCATTGCCAAACTCTCTCAGAGGAATGTGAAATCTGAGCTGTGTGAACCAACATAAAGTAATCAAAACCACTACAGTGCAGTTCAAATCCCACAAAGCCCATGAAATAAATGGGATTAGAGCCAAAGTCTATAAATGGAGAGGGAATTTGTTTCTTGAAAGGCTTTCAGATACATTTACAACATGCTTAGAGGAAGGAACAGCGCCCTCAGACCTACGGGACGCAGTCATTGTTTCTCTCCACAAAAACAAGGAAGAGAATTTGACAGTTCAAGCTATAGTGGCATCACCATGGCAACCTGCTTTAATAATAGGATTAAAAGTTATCAAGACAAAGTCCCACAGTATAGTGCTGTCAAAACACAAAATTACTTGTGATGAACTTAGCTGGTAATTATTTTCTAGGATTTTTTTATTCTCTCATGGGATGTGGGCGTTGCCGACTGGGCCAACATTTATTGCCCATCCTTAGTTGCCCTTAAGAAGGAGCTGCTTTCTTGAACCGCTATAGTCCTTGTGCTGTAGATACACCCACAATGCCTTTAGGGAAGGAATTCCAGGATTTTGACCCAATGACAGCTATATATTTCCAAGTCAGGATGGTGAGTGGCTTGGAGGGGAACTTGCAGGTGATGGTATTCCCATCTCTCGCTGCCCTTGTCCTTCTAGATGGAAGTGGTTATAGGTTTGAAGACGCTGTCCAAGGATCTTTGGGGAATTTCTGCAGGACATTTTGTAGATTGTACACACTGCTGCTAATGAGTGTGGATGATGGAGGGAGTGGATGTTTGTGGATGGAGGACCAATCGTGGGCTGCTTTGTTCTGGATGGTGTCAAGATTCTTGAATATTATTGGAGCTGAACCCATCCATCCATCCATCCATCCATCCATCCACGTTCCTGACTTGTGCCTTGTAGATGGTAGACAGGCATTAGGGAATCAAGAAATGAGTTACTCACTGCAGTCTTCCTAGCCTCTGACCTGCTCTTGTACCATTGTATGTATATGGTGAGCCGAGTTGAGTTTTTGGTTAATGGTAAACCCCAAGATGTTGATAGTGGGGAATTCAGTGATGGTAACACCATTGAATGTAAAAGAACAATGGCTAGATTGTCTCATTGCAGATGGTCATTGCCTGGCATTTATTTGGCACGAATGTTACTTGACACTCATCAGCCCAAGCATGGATAATGTCCAGATATGAGAAATTATAAACTAATTTTAACCACCATTTATCTGCATGCTTTCACAAAATCTATGGTTCACTCATTTTATTTTGTCTCATCTATAGTTCTTCTATATCAATGGCTTCCTGGTTCAATTCTTCACCAACTTCACCAGCATCATCTTTGCCGTCCTTCCAGTTTCCACCTGTGACTGCTGTTAGTGACAAACCACCTAATGGGTAGGAAAATTCCCTTTTTTTCACAACATAGTAGTTAATACCAGATAAATACCAGGTGTTTCCTTACACATTATTACCACTAGGATAATGGATCAGAGTCAAAAGAATGAAATTATTTGATATTGTAATAATAAGTGGAGAAGAAGATATACTCTGGTATGGCATATAGTCACATCAAGTGAATGTATTAAAGTTCTTCAGTTGCATTATGTGTTAGGTTCAGCATGTTAGGCCTCTTCTTTGAGGAAATATATAATCTAAAGCATCATGTTGCAGTACAAAATTGCTGAGAAACTTTCCCTTCGATATCTTTTAAGTCTCAGTATTTATAACAGACTCATCAGTTTGCAGCAGATATTTGAAACCTGACTTAATTTTTATGAGTGTACACTTTGACATGGTGAGGTAAGATTATAAAGCTTTACTGTGATCCATTCGTTGTGCAATCATTTGTTTCTGTTACAATCAGCTGATGTGGTGGTTGCAGCATCACACAATGATGTTGCAGACTGGTAGCTGATTCTCCAGAGCTTGGCCAACTTGGACTGCGTTGGTACAACTGAAAAATACATGGAAATTGTACACACACACACACAAACAGAGTGCCTGTTGTTCTGTTGCCTTCTTTGACATATGCAGCAAGAAAATGAAATATACTCATCTAAGGAAGGGTCACCGGCTGTCAGACCTGCTGAGCTTTTCCAGCAACTTTGTTTTTGTTACTGATTTACAGCATCCGCAGTTCTTTCGGTTTTTATTAAGTATACTCATTTGTAAGGTTAGGGACTCGATTGATGGTAATTATCAGGATACTATCCTGGCTGATTTGACTTAAACCATGAGCTCCAGAGCCGTGTCTATCCAATGGTATAACATTGTGCCGTACCCCTGGTGGAATTATAGAGTCGTAGAGTCATACGGCATGGAAACAGACCCTTCAGTCCAACCAGTCTACACCGACCATGTTCCTAAACTTGTCCCACTTGCTTGTATTTGGCCTATATCCCTCCAAACCTTTCCTATTTATGTACTTATCCAAATGTCTTTTAAATATTGCAACTCTACCTGAATCCACCACTTCCTCTGGCAGTTCATTCAACACCCTTTAAGTGAGTTTACTTAAACGCACTCAGAAATGAAGATAAAATCTGTGCTCTGGCCAAAGATCAAGGCATCCAAGAAGGAGCAAGTAATTTTAACATTTGTTTTCTTTAACATCATGTGATCACTAGTAAAATGAACAGGAGTAGGCCATTTAGCCCATCAAGCATTCTCTACCAATTCAATAAGTTCATGGCTGATGTGATTGTGACTTCTTTTCTGCTCAGCTGTCTACCATCAATTATCAATTCTCTTTGCTTTCAAAATCCTGTTAACATGTCTTGTATGTATTCGGTAACCCACCTTCACTGCTGTCTGGACTGGAGAATAACAAAGACTAGCAGCCTTCTGAGCGACAAAATTCCTCCTCTCTCTTAAGTTTCCTAAGTTTTAAAACTGCACTCCCTATTCTTGATTCTCCCACAACCTGCGGAGACCCTCAGAATCTGATAGGTTTCAGTGAGATCACGTCATTTTTTAAACTCTAGTGAATGTAGACTCAGCCTTTTCAGTGTTTTCTCACAAAAAAGCCCCTCATTCGAGCGATCAACCTAATAAACCTTCTTTAAATTGTTTCCAGTGCAACTGTATACCTCCTTAAGAAAGAAGATCAAAATTAAATATAGTACTCTAGGTATGGTCTCACCAATGCTCTGTATATTTGGAACAAGATTTCCTTGTTTTGTAACTCCATCCTTACAATAAAGACCACTCATCCATTTTTCTTTTTTATTACTTGCTGTATCTGTGTGCCAAACTTTTATGATTCATGTACAGGGACACCCAGAAACCTCTGTGCCATAGCATTCTGTCATCTCTCTCCACTTTAGCCTCATATTTTTCTACATTCTATTCAATCTGCTAAGTTTATTCCCCACTTGCTTACCTATGTCCCTTTTCAGTCACTTTGCTTCCTCCTCACAACTTTTTTTTTTAACCAATCTTGGTATTATCAGCTAATTTGGCTATAATACAATTGGTCTGTTCATCCAAGTCATTAATGTAGATTGTAAATAGTTAAAACCCCCATACTGATCCCTGCAGCACTCCATTAGTTACTGTTTTGTCAAACAAGAAATGATCCATTTATTCTGACTCTTTGATTTGTATTAATGAGCCAATCCTCTATTCATGCTATACTATCACCCCAGCACCATAATCCGTATTTTGTGCAATAACCTTTCATGTGTCCCCTTATCAAAAGCCTTTTGGAAGTCCAAATACACTTCAACCACTGGTTTCCCTTTATCCATTAAACTTGTTACTTTCTCAAAGAACTCCAGTAAATTTGTCAACACAATTTCCCTTTTGACAAAACCTTGGGGACTCTGCCTGATTGTTTGATGCGTTTCAAAATAACCAGCTACTACCACCTCAGTAATGATTCCAGCACTTTCCTAATGATAGATGTTGAACCAACTGGCTTATAGTTTCTTGTTTTCTGTCTCCCATCTTTCTTGATTAAACATGGTCTCCTTTGGTTTTCCAATCTATTGGACCTTCCTAGAATCTATGCAATTCTGCAAGATTACAACTGGCTCTGCAGCTACTTGTTTTAATCCATTTTGGATGAAGGTAATCAGGTTCTGGAGACTTGTCAGCCTTTACTTCCATTAGATTTCCCAAAGTTGTTTCTCTCCAATGACTGTTTTGCGTTCCTCCCTCAAGGGGCCCACATAATCAATATAAAAACATGCACTATGTTATAGAAACATAATTCAGGGGGGATGTGTTCATCACTGTTATATTTTATTTACAGCATAAGTCACTAAAGTAATAATGCAACTTTGCCTTAAATAAAACTTACCAATAGAGAACCTTCTCACTTGCACCCTCAGTTGACTACTTGGACATTGCAGAGATCGTGATTAACACACTAAAATTCTGGCATTTCAGGTATATAATTTTTGTCAGTTTATCAAGAGTGCCAGTTAATAAGGTGCCAGTTAAAACAAAGTTTGTTGTACTTTTTCAAAGTCTGCTATTTCCCTTTCCCATTATTAATTCCAAAATCTCATTCCCTAATGGAACAATGCTAACTTTAGCTGCTCTTTCTTAAATATTGTAGAAATATGTCTATTTAAGACAATGATAACAGAACATGGGAAATGTGATGCAGGAGTCAGAAGAAAAGTAGCGATAGATAGAGAAGTAATTTTAAGATGAAAAAGAATGTGTTAGTAAGAAAATACTTGAGCTTTAAAAAAAAAATCATAAATGCTGCATTCTGTCCACTTTTCTTTTGCCCCTGAAATGGGGCAGTAAGTAAAGATCTGAAGTAAAGAAGGAAAGAGAGGCCTTGGAAATATGTCTGCTCAAATGTATAGTAAAAATTCCATATACAGACTACAAGAAAAATGAAGAGGTGCTTGAAATTGCAAAAGCAAAGGAACTCTTAAAAGGTGAGGCCCAGAAAAGAAATTTTGGCCATTTGATTAGAGCCAAAAAGCTACAGCGACCGACCTCCTTCGAATGCAGAGTGGTGGGAGTAGAAATAGGGGTTGACCTGGGCGATGTTGGATGTCACAGAGTGATTGCAGACACGCAGTTATGGGATTGTGAGGATGGCACAATGACAGCAGGTTTCCTTGCAAGAATAACTATAAGCACCACAAGCCTTTTTAACTGCGTTTTTAAAATATAACTTGCTGATATTCTCACTTACCCTAGTCCCTACTTTATTAATTTTCTGGTGGTTCTTTACTTTTCCCAATAATCTGGACTGCTAGTAATCTTTCCTATCATTGAACTTCCGTTCTTTCAATTTGATATTGTCCTACACCAGCTCCATTAGCAGGGACAGTACTTCCAATAGAGTCTTTCTTTCTCAATGGAATATATTCTGTTGAGAGTTATCAAATATCTCCAATGATATTTCTTCAAATTCCAGAGTGCTGAGCCACAGACTGTAAATTTTCATTGCTCCCTATGTCAGGACAGTCATAAAATAGCCTGCTTTTCTCTCCAAAGTTGCTCAACATTTCCACTTTAATTTCCTTAAAAATTTACTTTGGCTTGGTTGATTATTGATCTTCTATTTCATAGAGGGAAAAAAATTATGAGACAATATCTGTGAATGGAGTTTGTTCAATTTCAAATTATTTACAAGACCCTTTTGCGAAGATGTTATCCTGTCCTTCCAGCTCTTCTGTTTTATGTATCTGCCAGTAAAATTAGATCAGTATGTGATTGTTACTGACATTGATAGAAGTCAGTATAATGACAAGTTTACATAATACTAAGGAAAATATACATTTTTAAGTATAGCAATCTGTTGAACACTCCATCTGTTTCAGATTATTGAAGCAGCCACCATATTTGCTATTGCTATGTATTAATTCACGAAATAATGTTGCTTGAATTCTCTTGAATGAGATAACAATTGCATTTACTTTTAGGGTTCCAAATGATAAAGCCAAGGCTGTTTACTCATGTGAAGCGGAACATTACTCTGAGTTATCCTTCAAAGTAGGAGCAATATTTGAAAATGGTGAGTGTGACCAGAGATGTTAGATTACTTTTCCCAGCTGTGAACTGCATTTTATCCTTACTAAACAAATATCATCACTCCAAAGCTGTTTGTTAAACAGTAAACATCCTCCATTCAATATAGATTTGATTGTTACGGGGGAAGCCTCTTCTTGTTTTGGATGGGCAGGTATCACCTATTCTCTTTTTGTGTAAAACCAGATTGTCTTCCCACAGCACAGACCTTTGTTGTTCCATAGCCAGACAGTTTGTTTTAGTTTTAAATTCAAATCCTGCCATTGGATTGGACTACATTTTCAATGTCCCCTAATGCATAGGTTAGATTTGACAGTCCTTATTGTTCTCTCAGTTTGACTTTTTATTTCAGCCAGCCTGCAATGTTTATTTCTTTCAAGATTTTCACTTGGGAAGTTAGAGTATTCTCTGCTAAAACAGTAGTTTTGTCCTTATTTACAGCATGGGCAATGTTAACAAAAGTTTTTTTCTTTTTGTGTGAAATGTCAACCTAAAGGTAATTTTAGAAATATTTGGTATTTGGTATTTGGAATACCCAGAATTCACTACTTCAATTTTTTGGATAGCTACCAGCTCCTATATTTCTGATCAGGTGTTTAGGTCACATCATCTTGGAGATTTTTGGTCCCACAAATAAAACATAGATGTTATCTTGAAGGCCTCTCATTGACTTAATATAGACCATCAGATGGAATCAAGATTCTGCTGCTAAGATTCTTTTGGTTTGCGGAGAGTTTGGTATTGCATCCTGTGCAGGAGGTGTCTGCTTGACTTGCCAGTTAATAAAAAGTAATGACTGTTAGAATGTCATCTCCATTCTTCAGTAATAAATACCTTGATCAATTTATAAGATAGTCCACGAACCAATCTATTGTTACTGTGGAAAATATTCTCTGTAACCATGCCCTTGATGCCCTTCGAGCTTTTGATAATTTGAAATAAATGCTAGAAATAATTTAAAAGCTCTTTTGAATTCAGATTCACATTGCAACTATTCTAAGCTCTGTCAGCAAAGTTTTTTGCAGTTCCTGAGGTGGTCTATTGATATTAAGTTTTATGAAAGTAATTATGGAACTGCGCTCTGAAAGACCTTCTCTAGTTTTGAATTGGGATCTTTAGTCTTTCAAAAGTTAGAATTTTTGATCATTTGAATGTTTTTGAATGTGCCATCTTCAATTTCTTTACATGAAAAACTGGACTCTTAGTTTCATTGTGCATAGTTGGAAAATTAGAAACTCGTTTTGTTGGATCGACCAGTTTAGAATCCTAACAGAGGATTGCTTAGGGGACTCTCTCATTCTCCTCAATGAAAGTTGCTTCTCAATTTCATTTGAACCAACACCTTTTGATGCTTTCCCTCATGTAAGGCATTGTTTTCCTTGTTAGATGCTCAGAAGTATCACTGTCTCTTGAATGGAGCACTGAGGGAAGTCTCTATGATTATTTGTTTCCTATGGTACAAAGAGCAACATAATGACAATCGTGATTGCTGTGTGGATGATAGCTTTCCTTCTTATTGTTACCGATGTTTTATTTTGTTTGAACTTGAAATGTGAACAGCACTGGTAAAGTCAACATTTATTGCCCATCCGTAACTGCTCTTGAGACGTAGCATGAATCTTTTGAACCACAGTAGTCCTGTGACGTAGGCACATCAAAGCAATCTTATAGAGGGAACTCCAGAATTTTAACCCAATTACAGCAAAAAAAGTGAAATATTTCCCAATAAGCATATATAATGTGATGAACTTGCAGACAATCATGTTCCCATGCATCTCCATCCCTTATTCTTCTAACTGGTGAAGATCATGTATCTGGAAGGTACTGTTCCAAATGAGTCTTAGCAAATTTGCAGGAAAGAAACTAAAGAGACAGTTAAAGTTAATTCTGTCTTTTCCATGATTTTGTATATTTTTACTGTTGCATGAACTAATGTACAAAGGACATATTTTGTTGAAGCTTTTTTTTTTAATCTTGCACTCGTTGAATACTCTCTTTTTTCATCTTAAAATAACCAGTTGTTAATAGGTAAAAATTCCAGGATTTTTATTAAGAAACAGTGACAGTTACATTCTGGTTGCCAAGAATAAGCGTGTAACTGTGTTGATTCTAAGTTTTGGCTTACGTTTTTTAAACAATAAGACGCTGATAGCTTTATCTAATTATATTTCATTTTCAAGCCTTAGCAACACTAAGCCAATTACAACAGGACATTCCATCAGTAAACCATAACACTGTTAGCAGCAGAAGCAAATTTAATTGCTATACAATATTAGCTCAATCACACTGTTTTCTTTTATCCCCACATGCTCACCACAGCAATTTGCAAGACATAACCAAAGTAAAGGGAAACTAACACGTACTATATGAGAGGAGAGTACTGATTGGCAGAAGTGTTACCATGGATAATGCATCAGTTAATAATTTATATGATGATGACTGGGGAAGGCAATGGCTAAGTGATAATAACAAAGACTGTTTATTCCAGAGACCTAGGTAATGTTCTAGGGACCTGGGTTTGAATCTGCCCACAGTTGAAGAAATTTGAATTCAATAAAAATCTGGAACTAAGTGTCTAATGATGATGATGAACCCATTGTTAATTGTTGGAAAAACCCATCTGGTTCACTAATGTCCTTTAGTAAAGGAAGCACCATCCATACCTGGTCTGGCCTACATGTGACTCTAGACCCACAGCAATATAGCTGACCCTTAACTGCTATCTGCGCAATCAGGGATGGGCAATAAATGGTGGCCTAGCCAATGACGCCCTCATTCTGTGAAAGAATAATAAAAAAAAATTGACTGCTAACAGCCAAGCATTATTTAAATTGTAAACAAGGCAGGTTGACTCTAATTGGTCAAGGCATCGCCCCAAGGAATGAATGGCTGTCATCTATTTTGTTGAGTTGAAGTACAGCGTGTGGCCATGTTCTTTTTGTTTGCAAGGCACAGGGCCCTGTGTGTTAATAAATGTAGCTTCTAAATAAAACAAGTCACACTAAAATGTGTTATACCATGAGTCCAACGAACAATCCTGATAGAGTCATCTAGACTTGAAATGTTAGCTTGCTCTCTCTCCATGGATGCAGCCTGACCCGCTGTGATCTCCAGCATTTTTTGTTTTCAGAACAATCCTACAATCTTTTTCAGTAATTCTCAAGTTCTGTGCTACTAACTGATTACGTGTAAAAAAGGAAATTCTTTGCATGTTGTATATTGGAGTATATGCTTATTCTAATAAAGTAGGGGTTGCTGCACCTAATTGATGTTTGCACCGAAATTAAAACTTGTTCTTTGTATTCTTATTCCCCAGTTCACTTTTCACAGGAACCTGGTTGGCTGGAAGGAACCCTTGATGGCAAAACAGGGCTTATTCCACAAAATTATGTTGAATTCCTGCAGCACTGAGCTATATAAATTTGTAGAAAATGCTATTCATGGTATCCATGGCCATGTTCTTGACAGGACAGAATTACTGTTTGTTCTACCTTAACTTCACGACTGAGATTTCTGAATTGGAATCAAGAGGTATATTAATTTCTATAACTAACACACAACCAATCTCAAGCCGCTGTAAACCTATGTGCTTTATAAACTTAGTGTTACTGTAACTTCATCATACCATTTTAATTATTACATGCTTTTATCATAGGATCAGTGGGTACAGTTTTTAACAATATATTTGATATTGTAATAACATGAAACAAAATTTGCTTGTTTAGTGGATGTAATTTTTTCTATCCGTTTTGACTTCAGTCTGATTCTATGAATTCCCTTATTTTCATTTACTTTTTAAGCAAATGAAGTGTCACAATAAAAGATTGTTTGATGGGGGGTGGGAGAGAGTTGTTTCTGTGAAGTTTTGCTTATTCGTTGTTGATGTCAAATGGTTAAATGTTTCAGTTTTAAGAAACATTGGGGAACTTTTTTAATGAAAAATCTTGTGCATTTGTACAATATTTGAAGTAATTTGCTGCATTTTATCTTTCAATATCAAACAACAAACTTAATGACTGCAGTGGACTTTCATTTTTACATAACGTTAGTGAATATTGGGAGAGGGTTTTCATCAATATTTGAAAATTGGGAAATTCCATTCAGTTTTTAACAAGAAGAGGTATTTACAGACTGCTCACTTGCTGTGTATTTGTATTTATTTTAACTATGCAAAATGTATTATTTCTGGTTTAATGATTTATCATCCTTCTGAAAACTATCTTTGCTTAAATAATCCCATGCATGTGAATGTGGTCAACAAAGTCACAAACCTAAAGCCTTCAGAAACCTGCAGAACATTATGCTGTAACTATATCAGAAAATAAAGATCACTGTCAATGATAGTTTCAAGATTTTATTATTAATTTGAAGCACGTGGTTCTTAATATTTAACTTGATTTTAAGTACTTATTGACATTTCCTTAAATTAGTTCAAATTCAGTCTTAGTTTTAAGGTAACTAAATTGTGTCACTTCCACTTTGATGCAATTTATAAATTAGTCGGATTTTAAATTTCACATTTTCAACTGCTCATTTTTTGTGTTCTGTTTAAGGACTGCAAATCATTCACATTTGGGCATGCAGTAATATTTTGCTGGTATTATCCATCACTGCTGAGTCACTCATTTTGCTATAAAAATCTGAGTTAAACAATCGCTGATGTCAGCCATGGAGGCATTAGAGGAAGTGCCATTTTCTCCAGTGCACTAGGGTTAAGAAAATAAGTATTAACCAGGATTCATGAACCTGATAACTTTCCTGTGGATGTTAAGCTGGGACAAGGTCCACACGTGCAGTTAGGGCCACCACTGTAAAGCGCAGAGACTACACCTGAGTGTGATGTAGATCGACTGTAGAACAGATTTGGTTCACGTGGGAATTCAGCGTGTAGGAGAAAAAGGTGATTTAAGTAAGATTTATTTCAATTCATAATGTTTTAGTTGAATTTATTAATACAACTAAGCTTTTATTAATAGTGTAATGTTAGTAATGGTTGGCTTTTTATTAGCATTAACAAGATTAACTTATTGGCTTGGCTTTTTCAACTTTGAGTGTGCCCATCCTGCAGTATGTGGGAATTCCAGTAACATTTCCTGTGTCCTGGATAAACATTCATGCAGGACGTTAATCCGTTACAGCAACTTGAGCTTCAGTTTTCAGAATTTGAACAGCTGTTGGCATCACTGTGGTGCATCTACTTCGTGTTGAGAGCTACTTTGATAGCATGTTTACAGTTGCGGTCACTCCGTAGCTGAACTGTATGTAGGATGAGAGGGAATGGGTGATCACCACATAGTAGAGGAGCCCTCTCAGTGTGTCCTGCCAGTTATACTGTAACCTTGCTTTCTTAGCTTGATTAGTAATTCTGCCTTGCTGTTCTGTAGCCACATCCTTATCTATATTCCCTTGCTGCCTTCCTGCTGTGATTGCTTGACAGCTTTAATCAATAAACCTTTTGATGGTATGTAAGGCCCTTTCCACCCCTACCCAGGCCATTCTTCTCAGGGTGTCATTGACATTTAACAAATCATTCCATCGTGGACTCAATATAGAAGGGGAAGTGGTGGTGTACTGGTACTGTCACTATTTGAGTAATCTAGAATTGGGATTCTCACCATGACAAATGGTGAAATTTGAATTCAACTAAAATACATATAAAAAGTTGTATCGATAAAACCTTAACCATTGATTGGTGTTAAAGCTTATTTGATTGGGGAGGTGATGGCTTAGTGGTATTACCGCTAGACTGTTAATCCAGAGACCCTGGTAATGTTCTGGGGACCTGGATTCAAATCCTGCTATGGCAGATTGTCGAATGTGAATTTAATAATTTATCTGGAATTAGGAGTCTAATGATGAACATGAAACCATTGCCAATTGTCAGGAAAAATGCATCTGGTTCACAAACCCACTTTAGGGAAGGAAATCTGCCATCCTTATGTGGTTTGGCCTGAATGTGACTCCAGACCCACGGCAATGTGGATGACACTTAATGCAGTTAGGGATGGGCAATGAATGCCTCATTAGTGACACCCACATCCTGTGAATGAAGCCTAAATAATTACTATTTAAAGCATTGCATATGACTACAACAAAACCCTTTCACAACATCGATACAACATTCTTCACAATACTGTCTCTAATCCTGACTCCCAGACAAATAGCAGATTAGTCCATCTCACAGTGCTGTTCATTCCAGTGTTGGACATCCTGAAGGTGTTTCATTTCCCCCTTTCAACCAGGAATACCAAACACAAATATGAAAACTCCTCTGCTCGAGCTAGTGTCATACACACCCTTTATGTTCACGTGTCATTAGTGTAACATATGTTGGCCTGATCTAGAGGGATTGCAACAGGTGTCTGTTTTGTAGGCTTTGCACTGGCAATTTTTAATGTTTGATTCATTTGTTCTACCTTGTCTGAACTCTGGGCATGTTATGGGATTTGGAACCTTTGCTTTATTCCTAGTAATTGGCATTCTTTCTTCATTATTCAGCTAATGTAATGGGTTCCTTGGTCCAAATTTATTTGGAGGGGCATTTCCCTGCTTGGGATTTCTTTGTGAAATTTTGCTACAGCTCAGAGGTTGAGTCATAGTGCTGAATAAAAACTGAAAGAACTGCAGATACTATAAATCAGAAATTAATGTTTCGGTTTGAGTTTGTGGAAGGGTCATTTGACCCAAAATGTTAACTGTAATTTCTCTCCACAGATGCTGCCAGACCTGCTGAGCTTTTCCAGCAATTTCTGTTTTTGCTTCTGAGTCATAGCGAATAGGAACACCTGTGGCCACGAGACAGTACATTTTCCCTCTGCTACCAATTAGGAGATCCATGAAGTCAATCTGTAGATTTTCCCAAGGGCCTTTTAGTCTAACTTGTTTGGTTAACAGCATTAATAGCCTTTCCCGTATTATGCTTTACAAATATCAAAAACTTTTTGGCCATTTCCTGGCCCATGCCCAGGCCGCCACCAGTGGCACTCCCTCCTTCTGTACCATTCCATATTTCCAACAAGCTGACACACACCATGGGGCTGCCTCTCGTACCAAATGTCATCCTCTCCTCTTCAGCCCCCCTATCCTTTCCTACTCTTCCTGGGGTGTTTTCTCATAAACATTTTAACGTTGACCTCCTTTGGATCAAAGGTACTTGTTGCCAAAGTCAGAGTTTTAGTACTGTCTTTTGCCTCCTAATTCCCTTTCTGGATGTGACCATCCATTCTTAGCTGTACCTTGACCTTTTGGAGAACCCCCTTGACCGAGTGGCATGCTGCCTCCACTGGTGATTGAAGAATTTCTTTGTGTTTGATGTGACCTTCTGCTGTAATCATGTGCAATCTCTAAGGTACATTGACTATTTTAGTAAATATTTGCGTCTTCACTCTCCCACCATTTCTCCAGGAATGCTACTAGCTTGTCTACCCAAGCAGAGAAAACCCTTCCAGAGCCCTTTGTTTTACTATTTCCCCTTTCCTTTAATATTATGGCCCACTGAATCTTGGGCTTCCCATCTACCTATCTTGCAGCCCCCCTCTACAAACAATTCCTCTACTTAATGTGAAGGGGATGTCCTTACCTCCACTGCTTTCCTCATCTCCAACTGATATTTTACAATAATGGGCCTCTCCTTCTGACATTATCCTTTCTGTGGGGAATATAGTGTTACATCTACAGTGAAGGTGCAGAGAAAGATCCATTTTAATATGAGAAGTTTGTTCAAAGGTCTGATAACAATAGGGAAGAAGCTGTTCTTGAATCTGTTGGTACATGTTTTCAAACTCTTGTATCTCCTGCCCAATGAAAGAGGGTGGTAGAGAGTATAACCAGGGTGGGAAGGGTATTTGATTATGTTGGCTGCTTTCCTGAGGTGCAGGATGTGTAGATGGAATCAATGGAAGGAAGGCTAGTTTGCATGTTGGACTGGGCTATGTTCAACAACTCTGTAGTTTCTTGCGGTGTTGGGCATACTAAGCTGTGATGCATCTGGATAGGATGTTTTCTATGGTGCATCTATAAAATATGAGTAATTGGACATGCCAAATTTCCTTGGTCTTCCGAGGAAGAAGGGGAGTTGGTGTGCTTTCTTGATTAAAGCATCAACATGGTTGGACCAGGATAGATTGGTGATTTTTATCCCTAGGAGCTTGAAGCTCTCAACCATCTCCACCTCAGCACCATTGATACAGACAGGGGAGTGTTCTCCAATCTGTTTCCTGAAGTTGATGACCAGCACTTTCATTTTGCTGACATTGAGAGAGAGATTGTTGTCTTTACATCATGCCACTAAGCTCTCTCTTTCCTGTATTCTATCTTGATGTTGTTTGAGATCTGACTCACTCTGCTGGTGTCACCGGCAATCTTGTAAATGGAATTAGAGCAAAAATTGGACCACACAGTGGTGAGTGTATAAGTAAGTAGTATAGTAAGGGGCTGAGTAAACCGCTTTATGGGGCACTAATGTTGAGGATTACCATGGAAGAGATATTGTCGCCTATCCTTACTAATTGCGGTCTGTGGGTCAGGATTAATTAAGTAATAGTTACTTTCCAATATAAAACAAGTAGATTTCTGCGACATTGCTTCTAAACCTATTTGATTGTGTGCCCTTTGTGCTGCACGGATAGGTGTTGATAGCTTACTGGAATAGCAAAGGATGCTGTCTCAATAGTATGCTGAATAGAGGACTCTGCGATAGAGGGTCAGGAGACAGAGTTCCATGCAACACAGCACTATCTAAATTTCCTGAACAAATTTCCTCTTCACTTAAGATAACTTGTGATATAAACAGAAGCTAATTAAATGAACAATTTTAAACTGCTCTTCAAATCACTAAGAAACAGAGCAGCAAACATGCTCAACTTTAAGCATTAATTGTTTGTTGTTGAACTATTAGTTTCCCAACATCGATTTCAGAGTTCCATAAATTTTGTGAGCAAAATTTTATTTGTTTAAGCATGACTGTAATTCTGAATTTGAGTTGTGTAAAGTATTTTTTAAATTTTGCTGTCTTGCTTTATGGACATTATTTATTGTTTCCTTGTTAGATATGAACATCAGCAATTTAACTGAATCACTAGTTCTTGTATCTCTGTATCCTCGATAATTACTACTTCTCTGTATTAATTGCATTGTTTTTTTCAGTCTAAAGATATTAAACAATGATAGGATCTAAGTAATGTCAGTCGAACAGAATATTGACAGGAAAAGAAGATGGAGGGCTTTGGTTGAGCCAGTGATGTCTCCAATTGCTATTCCTTTTCCACTGTACACAGACTGTCTTTCTGACAGCAGAATTATGATCATGATCTTTTTGATCAGAAGGAAGAAGACAAGGATCTGAACTCATCAGAAATGTTATTTA